CAAATATGCAGTAACACAGAAAAATTGCCATTTTTTACACTTAAGCATTTGATACAGATTTTTTTTAAAAGAAACAACATGTTAATTGGTGAGATTTTGAGATGCTGTTGGGCAAATTTTTTTACTCTGGATGGAACTCGGTGAACTATTTCCTGCCTTCATGCTAACCTAAATGAACCAGTCTCTGGCTGCAGCTTCCTGTTTATTGTTCAGATATGAAAGAGGCATCAACCTTCTCATCCACTCTCAGAAAGTGAGAACGTGTCAAACCTTTCCTTTAATGGCAAAAATCATCATATTCTTTCACTTTACACTCAGTCTATATTTTAAAATCCCACAAGAAAAGGAGTTGAGTGATGTGGCTAAGGATCAGGAAAGAGAGAAATAATGTAGTCTAAGCAGAGATAAAATTTTTGTCAAAATCCCAGCTCTGTGGGTGTGGTGGCAGCGGCGGTGGTTAAAATCCTACTGAAATGTTTCCTCTTTGTGTTTGAGCTCATATTCTCCACACAGTCACAGGAAGACTCAGAGGAGGCTGTGAAAAAATGAGGCATTGTAATAACATAACTGAGAGGCAACAGCTTTGCCCTTAGTCAATGTGACTTCTGAATGGAACTGTGTGGCTTCAGTTGCAAAATGCTGGCATTGTTTCACCCTCAGCTGCTGCTGCAGCAGAGGTCTGTCACTATAGTGCGTATATGTTTCTTGCTGTTTTCAAAGTTATTTTGAAATTACACTAGCGATTGTAACTGAAAACCGCTTAATAGATATTACAAGAAAATGGAAAGTGCTTCTGTCATTTGAGGGCTTGAGCATGCTGGTCCTTATTCAGACAGTGAGTAATCAGCCTTCCTGTGCTGAATTTTCCAATTTCATTCTCAAGATGTTTTTCTCGATGACTCCTTTTTTTTTGGAGGTGATCCCAGTCCAACTCAAATCATTTCCCTGTTGTTTCCTTCTCTCTCTTATCTCTGAATTATTCTCTTTTTACTCCCTCGTCGCTCTCTCCTTCTGTTCAACTTTTTCTTTCACTTTGTCCTTCGAAGAATGCCAGAGGACTTTCTTTCTCCTCTTCCTCCACCCTGTCCTGTGTATATTGACAGACGAGGCATAGAGAAAATAAAAAAGCTGTTTGTTAAAGCAGGGATAAAATGAATGCTTTTATTTCATGGATCAATGCTTTACAATTGATCATTCTCACTTTATATTGGGAAGACAGGCAGCAAGATTAACTTTCTACCGTGATGAGGGAATACAAGATAAACAAGGCATCAAAG